GTCATGGATCTCCTTTCCCAAGATCCAGTCTGGCCTGAGTTCCTGAAGAGGAAGAGCAAAGCCGGGGTCCAGGAGCAGCTGGAAGGAGACGGGAGAGTCCGGCTCCCAGGGGAGGAGGAAGCAGATCAAGCCTAGTGGTTGTGCAGGGGACAGGGCGGACTGGCTAGGCGGGAGCAGTTCAGCCTCCAGTGCAGTGTGACCAGGGCCAGCTTGCTGCTGCTGACTTCACCCCAGGACACAGTGGCCAGGAAAGCCTGCTTGGACCTTCCTGTACACCTGGCCTGCCTTGGCCCCACTGTCCCAGTCTCGCCCCGCCCTGCTGTGCTGCTCAGCCACCTGAGGACCCTCACTCCTCCCCAGGGCCTTCTGCCTGGCCGCTCCTGAGTGCCACGGGTGGCCACGGCGTGGCACAGCTTGCTCCCAGACCATGTCCTTGGGCATTCTGTCTGTTCCACAGATGCTAGAGCCAGGATGGCCTTGGCTTCCTGGGACCACTCATGACGCCATCCCAGAGCGGAGGGCAGGCTCTGACTTGAGTCCCTCCCGCCCTGGGAGCATGGTGGCCTGCCCTTGCCCCACGTCTGCTTGAAGCCCGCAGTCCTCCCCCACCAAGAGTGTGCTTGGAGAGCTGTAGGTGCAGGGGTGGCAACCTGGAGAGGAGCCAGAGGAAGCCCCCGGGAGCCAGCGCCCTTCCCAGGGTGGGGGGCGGCAGACCCCAGCTCCGTCCGACGACAAGTCCTCGGAGCGATGTTTGGTTGCTTCCTCATGGGCTCCCGTGCGGGCTAAGGCTCGTTCTGCAGGGCCAGCACCCCGTCCCAGCCGCCCCGCAGGAGGAGAGCGTGCTTACGTGGCTGAAAGCTGGGCTTCCCCTCGCTGTGACCCCGACTCTGGAGTGCTCTCTGGAGAACACAGCGGCTTTCACTGTCTGTGTGACGCCATGCAGTGTGTCCGGAGAAGAGGAGCCGACTCGTGTCATGGAAAATTAGCGTCCTTCTTTGTGACGGTGCCTTTGGGAAGGAAAGGCAGACTGACAGGCCTTCCTGTTGTGCCAGGGGCTCCCTCCAGGCTGCCTGCGCCTCTCCTGGGGCTCTGAATGCCGGCTTTGTGCCCTCCCGACGTCAGGGGCCTCTGGTGCTGCGCGCTCCTCGAGGCGGGCGTGGGGAAGCGCTTTGTGTCTCCGTGGAATATTCATGAGAATACAGGCTTTTCTGTGTGGATGCCGAGGCTGCAGGAGAAGCTCTCATTGTCTGCCCAGGGCACTCTGGGGCAGAGGACCAGCAGGCCTCTTTGGGGAACTCGAGGCATTTCCAGGGTTTTTGATACAGAAATAGCTCAAGTCACGTTTGACGTAGCCCCAGTGCCGTGCAAGTGGGTGGGGATTGTGGTTCCCGGCTCTGCAGCTGGCTCCCCGGCAAGGCCTGGCATAGCTTGGCCGCAGCCCCACCACCTGGCCTCCTGATGCTGGCACTGGGAGGGCAGGCGGGGTTGCCCAGCAGCCTGTGGGTGGGTCTCCTTGTCTGCAAGATTTGAGTCCTTGTTTTTGTGTCCATCTGCGGAGGCAGCTTTGTTCGTGGACACGAGGCAGCAGCAGTGGTGGGCTAGGGGACTGGGGTGCTGACGAATGTCATCTGATTTCTCTGCTCCACTTCTAACTGGCATGGCTGAGGCTGGTGTTCTGGGTGGTACCTCAAGACAGTGAACCAAGGCTGAGTGTCGTCCCGTTCCAACATGTGGTGAAAAAGGAGGAGCCACCAAGAGGCTGCTCCGAGCCCGTGGGCCCTCTGCAGGCAATGCTGCTCCCACTCGGGGCTTTCAGAAGCAGCCTGGTCCGGCTCCCCAGGCAGAGCAGGGCTGTCTGCAGCCTCCTGCTGCCCAGTGGCTCTCAGCTGGGACCTGCACTCACGGTATGGTGTCAGACCAGCATGTGCCGTGGCAGTGCCCCACCACTGTTTTGCTCTCCATGTCTGGCGCATGCCAGCCACCTGCTGCTGGTATGGGACAGGCCTGTGCTGGCCACCCTCCTCCTGAGCTGTGAGGCCCTGGGCATGCATGGGAAGACCTGGATAGAGTTGGGACCTGGGAACGGATGGCATCTGCACGGAGGTTCAGACATGTGCGTCGGGGCCAGAGACAAGGCCAGTCTGTGCAGGGYGAGCTCCGGCTGTGTCCTCAGCCGTGTGTGCCTGTGTGCCCCTGGCTCTGCTGACCACTTTGTAGTCCAGTTTGGGCATTCCTTTTAAGATGAAATTTAAATCAATTTGGGGGCTCTTATAAGTTTCCAAGAAAATAGCTTCAAAAACCACTTGAATCAATGCCTTAGGAACTACAGCATTAATAGGTTGAGTGCATTGGATAAAAAAAGATAAAGAAAAAAGGGAACCCCACAATAAAGCCTCCCCTCGCTGTTCTCACCCCCTGTCCACCCCCCCCCCCGTGGGGACGGCCCTCACAGCACTCCTTCCTTTCCTAGCCCTTCCTAGTGGTCAGCCTGTGCATACTCAGCCGTGAAGGGCGCATGGCCAGCGTCACCTGGGTGGGGAGGGACCCTCGGGTGCCCCACCAGGCCTCTGCCCCTGAGGAGATGGCGTCCACATCGTGGCCAGGTTAATGCTGCTCCCATGAGGGACTTTGGACGGGAGTCGTGGTCCCATATAGAGGTTTGTTTCCAGCTGCACAATGTGAGGAAGGTCCTAGTAAGGGAGCATTGCCAGCTGGTGTATGGCAGGTGACATGGCGCTCTGAACAGCCCTGTCCTGCCCACCACCTGGAGCTGCCTCTCCCTCCCACCCTCCCTCGGCCCCAGGGCAGCAGCGATGCTCTGGCCCTCGCAGGGGCAGGTGCTTCCCGAGCTGGGCATTAAGACCCTCTGTGACGTGGGGCCCCTGGACTCTTGTGAGGCTCCCTTCGGTCTCTGTGAGGTGCACCCTCACAGAGTCCTGTGTGGACACCTGCCCAGAGGGAAGGAGTTGAGGCCGCAGCATCAGGAGGGGGCCACACCTGCCCCCCTGAGCTCCTTTTCGGCTCTCCCTGCCTGCCGAGTATTTCACTAAGGCAAGCGCGGGAGAACACTGGTGTTTGTGACCAGCACTGTGTACGCGGGTTTTACAGCACGCTCTACCTCATGGTAGAGAGGACCTCGGGGTCGGGAAGGAAAGGAGTGCAGCCTCATCCCCACGCGTGGGCGAGAGTGGAGTGGGCACTGCTGCTGGTCCTGCCCCTCGGGCACACCCGAGCCAGGAGCCTGGTGAGACAAGGCCTGGCACCCAGTTCAGACAGGTGCACACTTCACAGGCCACGCTGCCCGTGCACGTGCTGAGGCCTCTGGTCACCTGCAGCTTGCTGTTGAGGGCGAGTCACCTAGTGGACCTCTGTGACCCTGGGGCAGCGGGCCAGGGCAGGAGCCAGGGTGCTGCTGCACCTTGAGGGGAGGACACTGATGCCCACCAAGGAAGCCCATGGCCTGCTTCAGCAGCATCCCTCCCTCCCTCCCTCCTGGGTCCCATCCTGGACTCTGCCCAGGAGGCCACTGTTAGGGAGGACACCAGGTGACTCTGGGCAGCACCTGGGTCAGCATCAGTGCTCCCTCCTGTGCCCAGGCCAGCTCCACAGCAGCCTTCCACCCGTGCTTCAGCAGAGGCGGGCCGAGGGCCAGCACAGGGCCCAGCAGTGTGAGGCCTGCATCTGGCCAGGGACCTGCTGCCTAGGCAGTGACCCCAGAAATCCTCTGGACTGAGGTACAACAGCTACTTACAGCCTGGCCCACCTGGATGGGGAGGTCCATGACTGTGGAGTAGATTTCTGCTAGGAACTAGGCCATGGCCAGGGTCAGTGTGAGGCGGTGGCATCTGGGACTGGAAGGTCCTGTAGGCTATCAGGTTACTGACCTGCTGACAGGGCTGCACCAGCCTAGGTCACGAGAGAGAGGTGCTGACCTGAGGGACAAGCAGTCAACCCTCTCTGGGCCTTTGAGATGCCTGAGCCTGAGCCCTCCCAGGGGAGCTCCTGGTCCCTCCTCTGGCCCTGTGGTCCATGTTTCGGGCTGATGGAGAGAGGTGACCAGGGTAGGGAGCCATGCAGGGGATACTTGCAGGCCTCACCCAGGCCCAGCGGTCGTCTCAGCGCTGCCCACTGGCATCCTGGACCCACACCTGAGGACACTGGTGCATGGTGAGCCCCCGGCTGCTCACTGCTGCTCCTGGCACGGCCATGTGCTGGGCTGCGCAGGGGGTCCGTGTGCGACGCGTCCCTGGGTTCTGCACCATTTTTCTCACTGTAAGATGGGCTACTCGGGGCCGGAGACGGACTCAGCACTGGCCTCTGGTCAGTCACGCCGCAGCTCTTCCGAGCGGTGATGGGGGTGGTGGGGTGCGGAAGCCAGCTGATGTGCCTGTGCTGCCAGCCAGGGGCACCCTGCACTGGCTGTGGTCGGGTAAACATGTTTTCAAAAGGGCACTCACGTCACCATGGAAACTGGCTCCCGCAGCATCTATCTGGACCACTTCTGTGGCACACGCTGTTCTTGGGGCTCACACACAACTCTGCAGTGGCTTCTTGGGAAGAGGAGGAAGGGGCAGAGGGGAGAGCGGGCAGTTTTCCCATGCTTGCGCAGGCACGCGGCTTGCTCTTTGGCTGACCAGAGCCTTTTCCTGTGTTTTCCCCTTTATTCATCTCAGACACGACACCTGGCAGGCCACTAGGCCTGGGATGGGGTCCTCTGGGAGCAGGGCCTCTGTGGTGCGGGTGGGGCAGAGGAAAGGGCTGGTACGAGCACACCTCCTGCTCTGAACTTCTGGCCTCTGTGACCTTCGAGTTAGAGGGCTGGAGTCCGTGTCCTGAGCCTGTTGACCCAGGGGCTAAGGTGGGGCTTCGGGACTTCCAGAGTCCTTCAGCCCCCGGGAGCCCCATGGCTGTGGCCAGCGGGGTTGTGTAGGGAGGGAAGGCACCCTGGGGCCAGCTCTGCACCACAGTGACGCGCTGTCTGTGCTGTGCTCTCTCTGCAGTGGACGTGGCCTCGGCACTGCCTCTGCAAGTGGCCCCCACGGCAGTGCCCATGGACCTGCGCCTGGATCACCAGTTTCCCCTGCCTGTGGCGGAGCCGGCGCTGCGGGAGCAGCAGCTGCAGCAGGAGCTCCTGGCACTGAAGCAGAAGCAGCAGATCCAGCGGCAGATCCTCATTGCCGAGTTCCAGCGGCAGCACGAGCAGCTGTCCCGGCAGCACGAGGCCCAGCTGCACGAGCACATGAAGGTGAGCAGCTGCGGCTCCTGGCCTCCTGCCCTGAGGAGCCAAGACCCTGGGCCAGGTGGCACCTGCCCTCCTGCCCCTGAGGAGGGCTGACACCCAGGGACCAGGTGGCCCTCTGGTGACACCAGCTCTCCTCTGCCCCTGAGGCTCTGTCTCACTTTGTGGGATGCTAAGACCCATGGACCAGGTGGGCTTTAATGAGGCCTGCGTGTCTGGGTGTCGTGTAGGATGTGGGGTGCTGAGATGAATGGCGTCTCAGGGCCACAGTGTGGAACATCCTTCTAGAAACACACCTGTGCCCAGGAACATTGCCCAGCCACAAGCACCAGGTAGCACAGTTCCCTCACAGTTCCCCAGCCCCTTGCCGTCGGTCTGGGACCTCTCTCTCTTACCTAGTTCTCTACGTGTTTCATGACTGCAAGGAGTTGAGTCTGTTTTAATTTGAAAAGAGTAAGAAGAAAGTGCTAATAAAGACCTCCTTTGGCACTTGCTCTTCATGGCTACTTGAGGGTCTGATGAAGGGGGAGTGCCTTCTCTCTGTGCAGTCAGCTCACCGGGAGGCTGGCCGGCCTGATGTCTGTGGCCACGAAGCGCTGGCTGCATGAGCGCCACTCGGAGCGCCGTGGCAGCCGGAATGCACAGTTGATGCTGAACTTACATAGGTCACATTAATGTTTCTAGGAGCCACGTTAAAGAGCTCCCAGAGCCCGCCCAGCCAGGTTGTGTAAGTTATCCTTGCTGTGTGACAAAGCCACCATGCTGCTGAGCGGCTTTGGCAGGAACTACACATTGCCTCTGCTTCTGGGGTGAGGAGTCCAGGAGCAGCCAGCTGTGGTCCTCACTGAGGGCCTCAGGAAGTTGCAGTCCGTGTCAGTCTCATCCAGAATGCTGTGGGGACCCTAGTGTGAGGGTGTGTCTCAAGCTCCTCTTGCCACTGTGGGCAGGAGCCTCAGGTTCTCGCTGTGGCTGCTCCCAGCATGCAGCAGCCTTCCCGGAGGCAGATGGCCATCCAGAGAGCCCTTGTTGGAGATCCTGGTCTGGGGAGTGGTGCCTCAGCCCTGTGCATGTTCCTCCCATTCCAGTGCCTCTTGTGCACTGTGGGTGGGTCCTGGACAAGGGCTTGTCTGCGGGCCTCCTGGCAGGTTGCTGGGAAGCTGCCATCGCTGCTCTCTCCAGTAGTGCACTCCAGAGCCGGGCTTGCCCTGGAGAAGGGCCCCTGTGGCAGCTCCGAGGCTCCTCCCAGGGGTATGTGCTTTAGAGGTGGTCCTGGGAGCTTTGTCCTTGGCCCTCCCAGCCTTAGGAGATGGGTCGGGGAAGCTCCCTTCTGGGCCTGAGCTGCCCAGGGCCTTGTGGTCATCTTCTGCTGTGGTCAGCAGGCTTTGGCAGCAGTAGCTGCTGCTGCTTCTTGCTCCTGGGTCTGGGGCAGGTGGTTGGGGGCTCCACAGGCCAGGCCCTGAGCTCTCCTGATATTCCTCCTGTCTGGCAGGCCTGGGCCTGCTGGTCTCTGTGCCATGGACAGAGCAGACTCACTGCCCACTGGGAGTCTGACCATGGGTGTTGTGCTCAGCCTCTGGACTACGGGACGGGGAGAGAGTCTCTGCGGCTGGCCTTGGGCAGTAATGTGTTCCAGTCGGATGGCACAGTCAGTGGAAGTCATTCCAGGAAGGGCCTGCAGCTATCGTGGTGGCCTGGACATGCTGGCCTTTTGTAACTAATTGGGAGCAGCCTCACCAGTAAACAAAAAAAGTTGTATGTGTCAAGCTGCATTTCTGTGACCCCTAAAAGCAAAAGGTTAAAATGCAGCCTCCCCTCAGGCCTCCCTGCACATGGCCAGCCCCACACAGAGCCCAGCCTGACTCTACAGAAGGATCCTAGCCTGGAGCCACCACACACCCACTGCAGTCTCCTAGAAATTGGAAGGTAGGGCACCTGCTAGGGCACAGGCCAATGTGTCCCTGCCCTGCCACCGACAGGCCGGCTGCTGCCTGGCAGCTCTGGGCCACCCTATCAGCCCGGTCGTTGCTCCTCGGGCCGTGAGGGCACTTGTGGCACTGGCTTCCTTGCAGATGCTTGCTGAAGTGGGCTTTCCCTGCAATGCTCCTTTCCTCAGCCCTGTGAGGTGGGGCCCCTGCCAGCGCACAGGAGGGAAGATGGCAGGGCCCGAGGGGAAGACGCTCCACGCGGTGTTCTTCCTGTGTCGGTTGCATTGGCAGCTTTTATAAGGAAGTAAAAGAGAAACTCAGAAATAAAACAAATCCTGCCAGGTGAGAGGGTCATCGGGGCAGTCCCAGGAAGCAGGACACAGGATGAAGACCCTGGGTCGAGGTTGCTCGAGCTAGGTCCCACCTCCCTCCCCTCCTGCCCAGGGATTGCCTGGCTGCTCTGAGCTGGAAGCGGGCTCTCCCACCCGGCCTCCCTCAGCACCTGGGGTTTAGGCTGGGCCGTGCTCCTCATGGCCACCACACTCCTGGGAGAGCCCCTGATCTGCAGTGCGGACCCTCTGAGAGGTGCTGGGGGCCTCAGAAACCCAATGGCAAGAAAGAAGCTCAAAGTTGTATTTCTCTTTGCATTTTAATCATTTATTTTATTTTTTCATTAAAATGGAGATCATAAAAGCCTTTAAGCTGCAGTCGCATCATTGCACGAACACTCCTTTGTTTTGATGGCTTAAACTTGTTCCATTCCTCAATACTGCTAGCGACTGGCGCGGAGTTCGTCAGACAGGTTTCTTGAACACACAGTCTAATTAGTGTCATGAAATCATCAGTGAATTTGAATAGAATTTCATAACTGGAATGGGAGTAGTTTTTCGGATGTAACTCACCTTGTTAATTTGGGTAAATAAGGTCTGCACGAGGTCGGGCTGCTCAGGTCACCTCCCCACCCCACCCTGTCCCATGCGTCCACTGCCATTTCTCGGCTCTTCACATATTCCACCTACCCTTTTTGGCTGAGGAATTCGGTGTTTGCGTTACTGTGACAGTGTGCATGTGTCACAGCTGAGCCCCCAGCACAGCACAGTGACTCGTCTTGGTTTTCCTGGAGGTGATGATTTCCCACTTTCCCATTTACTGACCTTCTGTGGCCTGAGGCGAAGCCAGTCCCACAGCCTCAGAGACCTGTGTGCAGCCTGGAGGGAGTGACCAGGAGCCTGGGTATGCTCCAGAAAGGAGCCCTGAGCTGGGAGCAGTGAGTCACAGTGTGTGGGTCCACAGGTGTCCTGCAGAGCGGGAACGGGGCAGGCTTTGCAAGCCTGAGAGGGGCCCCTGAGCTGCTGAAGCCCAGGCCGCCAGGCACAGTGGCTGCTGCAGGCCCCAGCCAGGCCCAGCCAGGTGTGCTTGTGCCAGTGGTGGTGGCTGCTTCTCCCAGAGCCAGGACCACGCTCCTGGCCTTGGTCATCGGCTGGTCTTAGAGGGCTCATGCCCTCTCGGCTCGGTCCTTCGAGTTTTCTGCATTCCTGTGCCTGGCTCGTGGGGTTGCCGCCGCTCGGAGGCGCCCTGGGGCTGTGATTTTCTGTCTCCCGTGGCAGCGCTGGCCTTCTTGTCATTCCTGCAGGGGTCTCTTAGGACTAAAGGGCACAGTGCAGGGTGCACTATGTGTGGTCACTTGATTGTTAGTGCTGCTGCAAGGTCATCTGCTCCTTCTCTCCTTGTTCTTAACACCAGAACTGCCACCGCTGTCCTGTGCTCATCAAGCCTGTCTGCAGCCCTCCCTGTCCTGGGCCAGCACCACACATGTCAGCTAGAACCCCACTCGGGGCCTATGTCCGCGAGGCCTGCTCTCCCCCACTCACTGCCCCTGCATCCTCCCAGGCAAACCTCAGGACCATTGCCCATGCCATCTCCACGTCACGGTGGAAATGTGTTGAGATTGCAGCTCCTAAGAACTTGCTAACATGGATCTCCACTCTAGGAATATGGTGTCACCAACTGAGTTGAGTGCTTCTGTTCTTAGGAAAAGCCTTTCTATTTTCTCATATAATGCTCATGGATTTTATGTTTTTATTCTTGGGTACTTTATATATATATATATATATATATATATATATATTTGCTAAAAATGAAACTATTACTTTGGTTTTCCCCGCTCATTACTACAGTGTATAGGCAAGCCCCAGAGTTCACTGTTAACTACCAATGCATACAATTTCTTGCGGGTCCTAATAGTTTTTAATTAGTTATTTGATTATTGTATGGTTTTAAAGTAAACTGTCATCTGCAAATAATAATTGTCTCCTTTTTTGATTTAGCTGTATTAACTACAATTTGCATAACCATGTCAGGATCGGAGTTACCTGTGACAACCTCCCTGTCCCCCGTGTGAACAGCACCATAAATGGAAGCCTGGGGAGTGTGAGCTCAGCTCTGTGCCTCTACGGGGCACCCCTGTGCCAGCAGGGCAGGAGGATGCATCAGCCTCCAGCTCCTCCCTGGCCAACAGCATCGGGGTCTCCTCCTGTGACTCGAGACCATCCTTAGGTCTAGGTTTGTCAGAGCAGCTGTTCCTCATGTGGGCCTGGTGGCCCCTGGCGGGGGCTTGGGTGMCCGAGGCACTGTGCCATGCCGTCTTACCTAGAACGAGGCTTGGTGTCTAGCCTGTGGGACCCCCATGTGGCTCTGCCCTGTGCCCTCTTCATGGGGGCGTGGAGAGGAGTGTCCGGGCCACACAGCTGCGTGGCGCAGCCTGGGTATGCGTGAACCCAGCATGTACTTGGAGCACTTGAACAGCAAGCAGGCCGAGTGAGGAAGATCCAGGCCTGCATAGCTCTGTAGGCGCACGACGTGCCATGTGCTGGGCAGTGCCACCGAGGGGAGAAGATACAGTGGGATCTGTCGAGTCCTTGGGGCTGGCCATGGGCAGGACAGTGACCAGCAAGCAGGACGGCTCCACTGAGTCAGTCTTCCCTGCAGTGAGAACAGGGAAGCCTGGCCTCAGATTATGCAGTATTCATCCTGCTGTTAGCCAGAGTGGCCGCTGGGTCAGACTCACCACCTCTCCTGGAA